ACTCCTATTCACATCTATTCAGCGTGCAAATAGCACAACTGCAGGGCGGTTGCCAAGCTGCTGTTCTTTGTCGCTTCTCCTTCGGAGAACAAGTCGCCTAGAGCTGACACAAAGACATGGCACCCTTTGGTTTTGTGTCACTGCCATGTGTTGTACCAGAGCCTCCGACCACAAGCATTTCATAGGAAATGTCTAGCGGAATGTACTGTAGAACTTTACGAAGTTAAAGAGCCTTCTGATATTGAGGAAATGCTTGTGCAGTAGGTATGGCCACTCAAACCATGCAAATATATGCAAATACATGCAAATATCATCAAACGATCCGATATCAACCTGTTCAACCCGCGCAAACAAAGGCAACTGTTAAGCACAACATGCTTACTTATATGTTGTTTCATGCTGTTTCCTACTGTATCTTTCTGCGCATAACAATGCATCCTTCAGGCTTCGCAGTTCTTGGTTTCGTCTAATGGCGTGGCATCAGGAAAGGAGGAAAACGAGTTTTCGTGTAAAGTATATATAAAGCATCTCTCTCCATCGCCCTCTCCGGGGAGTTCAGCATCATCTGGAATTTAGATGAATTTAGTGGTGTTCGGAGGATAGGTTGGCAAGCACAGTCTTTGCTGCAAAATGCTCGTAAAACACAATTACCTTCTTTCTGAGTCGAGTTTTGGTCAGGATCATTAAGGATCAATTGCTGCCGTTGAATCCTGCGCTCACAACCGCAGGGCTGCAAAATTGCAAATTTCAGTTTCTGATAACTTAATTTGAACAAAATATTATGTAGTTCAGTGCTTTATGTAGTCCTCCTAACTAATCTAACTATACATGAAAAATATGAAAATTGTGTTGTGCCTTGTGCTGCCCTGCACTGTTTGAGTATGTTCCAGGCATCGTAGTGAGGTCTGAGAGCCTCACCTGCCAAGTGTTTTTGCTGCAGCATCTTATCCAAGTAGAAGCCGCCTGCATCGGCTTTCAAGGCGGCCCCCAGTCGAATAGTCAAATGAACAGGTCTTCAGACTCTTCCAGATTCTTCAGACTGCAGACAAAGTAGTTTTCTCAGTTTGCTCAAAATCTCAAACTTTGTTTGCCATAGAGGTACGGAAGAGGACTATAGGTTTTCTGTCCTTTTTACCCTTTGTCAATGCCAGTTGAAATCTGGATGAAGCACACATGGAGAACTATCGTGTGTTTCGTGAATATATATATATATATATAATCATGATTAATTATGCATGGTATTGCATGGCCCAACGATCTTAAAAGATCTTAAAAGACCATTCTACATAATGTTTATTCGAATCATCACCTGGGCCCATCTCAACAGGCCTGACTGAAGGTTGCGTGGCGCGGTAGTGCAGAGCCAAATAATTCCCTAGGGCTGACACCGTCACTATCCGTCACTGATTCACTGCACGTCAGCACCACGAATGCCTTTGATGTGCCAAGCCAAATGCCCGTCATAATCAAACAATGCGATGTGTGAGAATCGAGCTGGTCGAACGCACATGGTTGTGCCACTCGGGTTCCTGCCTCAGCAGCAGACCAGCAGTCTCGCTTCGGCTCCATCAGCACTTCACCTTATCAAACTGTGCGAACCACCCAACTAGCGGAGAACTTCAATGGAGATAGGAATCTCAGCACATTGAGCGAATGCAAGTTGTTGGCAGGGGAGAGATGGGGAGAGTTCCAATGCAAGACTGCAATGGATGACAGGGAGCTCTTGTTAGTCTTACCACGCATCTGAAAGGACTCAAATTGACGCATATGGAGCCAAGTGGAGCTATGAGCCTACCAGGCCTACCAGGTTGGGGCATGCAAACCCTTTTTCAAAAGAAGCCACGACACAGACATGGTGACATTATGTGACATTATTCCGTTACATTCCATTACCATTTCTCAATATTGCTAAGTGGCTCTCTTTGTACATCTCCTTCGGCAGCTCATCGGTCACCCATCCTTGGTATTGCTGCCGACAGCAAACACCAGCACCGGACACCGGCTGCGATCAAAGGTGCCTGGATGACAGCTCAATATGAGGACCTTGTGCAGCTGCGCCCAGTACTCACAAAGAAGCACCTTTTGGACACGACATGGCTCCACCAAAAGAATCGCATAGAATGACCAGCCACAACGAACCCTTCAAATATCTTCAAATGTTGACCTATCTCTTTACTCCAATGAATGATTCTATTTCCTTCCGATGTGCAACAGGTGACCCCAGTGCTTGGCAGAAAATGTGACCAGCCACAAAAGACCACAAGGTCAGACACGTCTTTCCTGTGCCTGCGCCCGCTTTTGGTAGGCGAAAGCCAAAGATCCATCGTACTCCTGAAAGTCAGGCTGCCTTTGCGGATGGTGTGTTGGACTAGTCCAATACGCGCAGTCCGGGTTGAGCGTAATTGTGGGTGCAAGTACCAACTGATCACGGCAAAAGTGTCATGTCGATGTGCCATAGTTGTGCTGCCCCCATCATGTACAAACACGATGTGATATTAACTATAACCTTTCAACAAACACTGCCACCACCGACCCAAGCATCCCACACCCGCGGCAAGCGGGCAACCTTTTTGCTGCCTTGCTGCTGTCGAATGCCGAGGCCACTGTGATATCTTAGTCTAAGTGTGTTATCAAGCGAGCCTGTACAAGATGTGAACCCCGCGCGGAGTGGTGAAGATGTCACTTAGCCCACCCACCTGAGCAAACGGACTGCAACAATCTGCAACAGCCATAGGTTGGAGCAGCTGGTTATGCACAAGTCATCCCCTTAAACCACGAATGGTCTCCTATCCGAATGGTGCTGGCTCCAGTTATGCTACAGGGGCATACAGGGGCTGATTCTCACAGTCTTTAGTGAATCTCTGTGCCAGCAGCTCAGAAGCCGAGAAGCCTCCCCTGTCACTCTCGTGTCACAGTCACTTCGCTCAAACTCAGGCGCCTCCAAGTCAAAGGCCACAGCATCGAACTCTTTGCCGAATTGACCTGCACACAGCTACAAACGGCTACAGAGCACTCCTTGATTGGGGGCTGGGCCTTCAAACACCCAGCCAAGGTCTGCATGTGGCTTATTCGTGGCTGACTTGCAGTCCTTGGAGGCGCCAGGCAATCGGGGTACTTGTTTAAATCATTTTAAATCCTAGTGTCTTTCACATAGGTGAGACTGTGAGACTAGGCTCTTTCTGGCTGCCTGTGGCCGACTGTGGCCATTTCCAAGGCTTGAGAAGATGTGTGAATCTTACTTGGCAGACTTGCAGCATTCATCCGAAAACAGTCAGGGAGAGATTGGACTATGTGGGAGTGTTGTCTCTGCCAATTCCATGCAAGAGCCTCCGCGTGGGCACTAGCCCCAAACAAGGACCATAAACAAGCACTATGCAATATATGATCAGTATGCATAGGAATGCATGCTATGTCGCACTGAGTATTGCAAGTGGGTTCCCTAAGATGCTGCAACAAGTCAACTATCACCGCACCATCACCACCACAAGCATCATCAGCACATGTCAGCACCAAACAAAGGAGCAACACCTACCCTAATCATCACAACCCCAATGCATGAGGAATCGTTTTGAGCCACGCAACTGAAAGGGCTTCGCACTTCGCGGCAAAGCGCACTGCCAAGTCCTGGTGTCACAAAGCAAGGCACGGAACCGTCGATCCCAATCATGTATGAGCCGAGGGCCACTCTGCAAAGAAATGCCCAACAAAGAGTTAAAGTATCGATGGTACAGTGCTGTCCAGACTTGCTGCAGCGTGTCGCAGCATGTTGCACCATGTCACATACCATGTCAGGCTTGTGCCAGGCCTTGTGTTCATCCGGCTTCGGTCTTCGAAGTTCCTCCAAGGTCTGCATCAGCAGGCGCTCCGCAGCCACCTGGGGGACCGAAAAGCAATCCTTTGGCCAATAGCAAGCGAACATAAGCGAATTTGAGAGAACTAAGTTCAATGATGTTTCCTTGGCGTATCTTGGTGTCTTCCAGGCAGAACACCCCAGCATGCCAGGCCCAAATGCTTTTTGTAAGCCGCCTGTGTTCGGTTCGCAGGAGCTTTGCGACGTGCTAGGGAGTCAGCGTCGCTGACCTAAGCCCATTCATTCAAAGGAGGCACAGCTTGGCAACTAGGCGAGGGTGAAACTGTAGGAGAGCTCCTCGGATCTGCCTCAACTGCTTCCATTCATGTTAACCTTACAGTATATCTTTCTAAAATTTTCGAAAGGCCCTTGAGCGCTAACCAAGATAAAGTCCAGTGTCTAAGGCCAAGCTGCGCCGGCATATTTCAGCAACAAGGATGCGACGCGCACCTTGCGCTTGCCGCTTGGTGTCACGTTCTCCACCTTTGCATGGTCCCAAAAGTGTCGCAATGGTTGGCCCAGCCATGCCCAGCCCAAAACATGTTTAGTTTACAATCACAGCTACACAAACCCTGAAGATCCCGGAAGAGCTGACGAGCAGTACCCATGAAGATCAATGAGATGCCTAGTAAGTCAGACTAAGTCAGTGAGTCAGTATGGTTGTCCAATGTTGTCCATGTTCCAGGGGCCATATGGCCCATTCAAACACGATTCCACAGAACGACTCGTCAACTCGCCTTGCGCTTTTTTGCCTCGGGGCCCTTGGTGTCGGAGGCCTTGACCTCTGTCTCTACGCCCACCTGGACACCGTGGACCATTCTGCGGTGGTTCTGAAAATAGGATAAAAATGAATAAAATAGGTCCATAGGTGAAGGATTTCTGAAGGATTTCTGATGTTCAAAGTCGGACGCAAGTATTCTGCAATATCAAAGTGTTCGAACCAAATTGGAAGTAACTGCAAGCAGGGCTGCGAGGTAACGGCAAGGCTGGGGAACTTGAGGTCAACTATCTTATATTATTGTAGATCCTGTATATCACTAATTAAGTCTAATTAAATATCATTGAAATATCAAAATGCATGAAATATCATTAAATATCAATAAACACCAAACATCGTTAGACATCATTAGACATTATAAAACATCATTAAACATCATTAAATATCTGTGCGTGTGAGGCCCGGCCCTTGAGCCCTTGATTTGCAGTTCCATATGGATGGCACATGGCACAACACTCTCCAACTCTCCACCTGCAAGCTCACAGATATCACACCCACCGCTTCTTTGGGAGCATGCTCCGCAGCATCTGTGCAGATGCCTCAATCCCGGTGCAGGTGCAGCTGAAGCGCTCAGGCATTCACCCTGGCCATTGTTGTCTACGCAACCTGTGAGCTGATGGAAAGAAACCAACAGAATATAACAGAATACTATATAATTATATATGATATATATGTATATGTAAATCTATCTATATAATTATATATATATACCTATAATCACATTCTTTACTAAATTATATTCGTTCCTAAAATAAAAGAATGATCCATGTTTCTTGAACTCCCAGCTTGACAGCTCACCCAGAACTCAAGAGGGTGACTCCCTCAAAATGAGTGAGATGCAAGTTCCTGGCTTATAATTACACAGTATCCAGGGCCGAGTATGACCAATGCAACTAAGGCACGAAGAGAGGCAGCTTTGGGCCGTGTGCCATGGACCTGGCAAGAGTCTCAAACTCTCAAACATCAAGATACAGTAAGAATCATCAAGATACATCATCAATTATGTCATGAACACACCCCGCAAATGAAGATGACGACAATCTCATGATTATGGCCGAGCAAGGCCTTCTGCTACATTTGCTTCTCACTGACTGTGGCCGTATCAGCCAACTCCACAGCCTCGGCAATCTCGGCTAAATGCGAAGTGTCGAGATGACGTGCGCCGTCGCTGAGGAGAACCAGGAAGTGCAACCCATCCTGCTTTCCAGCTCTTTCCGTGGAGAAGATCAACAGGTGATCTCATCAGTGGTTACTGCAACAGTACTTGACGTGTGTTGGTGTTCAATGTTTTGGGGGCACTGGCTCTGGTTTTTGGACGTGACGGGTTCGTAGCTTCCCAGTGGCCCTTTGGACCCTGCCTCGAGATGGACCACCTCCGAAGAGAGCTCCAATCCAACCAGTGGCCTGCATATTGGCCACACGATGGTCCATCCGATGGTTAGCCACTCTGTTCAAACACGAAAGGTTGAGAAGATCCGACAACATGAAATCTCCCGCAATGTTTACCCGTTTACTCACCCTGTCGCCTCTGCCGCTTCAAGTCACGAAAGCCCATGGCCCGAGTCACACCCACCGAACGATCACCGCTCCTCGGCTGCAAAACGCGTTGTGTTGCGTCGTCTCTTGGATCCCATGGCGGAAACACCAAGCAGATTCACCAACATCAGACAGACCAGGCAGCCAACGCATCGACCTGCATCAACCTTTCCGAGTTCAAAGTTCGTTATGTTCGTTCTGAGCACCCAACGGCACCCATGGGGCGGCAGCTACAGCTCTAGCTGCTGCATCTGCCAGCTCGGCCAAAATGCGCAAGCCACGTTGAGCATGGCTCGGGCCTAAATTCAGCGCGACCGAAAATTGGCAAAACTCCCTTCGAAAACATACTAATACATCCCTTGAAAAGGCAGAGCTTCCCCTACTGTTGCCAAGTTTTCCACGCTTCAGGATTTAAGGGACCGTACATTTCATGTTCATGTCCAATTGGAGCACCGCCTACTATCACTCTCTTGCACCAAAAGGTCTCACGCTTCTCCCCAACTATCCAACTGCTCCAACAAATGCCAACAAATCCATTCCAATCATAATTCAAATAATTATCAACTCATGATCATACTACATCCTGGCATGAAAATTATGACTACATGCAATGGACTGAAATAGCAAGTTGGCCATTTGTCAAGTGGCTCACTTGTGCCAGCTGCGTCATCAGCGCCCTGAAGCGCCGATCAATGCCTGCCTGGGCAGCTGCTTCTCCGCAGCCAGGCTCCACCCCTTGGCCCAAAACAATTGCAGATCTTGCAGATATCCAGGATATCCAGGATGAAAAAACATGTTTTTTATGTATCTGGTGTATCTCTTGATATCTGTTCATATCTTTGCATCAAATACTGACACAAGTCTGCTATGGACGTGATATTCTGCTAAGTGCCAATGCACTTACTGAATACTGTAAATTTTGCGAAGGGACCTAAGAGGGCTGCAGCACGCTTTGGTGATGGCATGCCACCCTCTTCATCCACCAGGTAGTACAGCTCAGCCAGGATCTGTGTGACGTACATGTCCATGCCTCAGCAGCACAGTAGCCAAATGTCCAAGCATGTCCAAGCCTATCAAGCCTCACATCTGAGAAAACGCAACAGGCGGCGAGACGTTTGCTGAAACTTTAGCTTTGCCTGGGGGCACCTTTTTGCTCTTGAAATGTCCTCTGAGAAGGCACCGCCTGTTCAAAAAGTACTCCCATACAACACTACGAGTAGCTCCAAAATAGGTGCTTCCCACTCCCCTCCCTTCAATATATGCTGTGTCTTTTTGTGCTGTTACAGCACATATCCATTCGGAGCTCCGAAATAATACGCTGAATGCAGCCTGTTGTAATTGCATCTTTGAGGAATGTCGGCCATGCCGATTTAGATGAGGCACAAATGACAGTGATACGTTCATAGTGGCCTAATCTCTTAAACAACTGGCCCCGTATGAGCCAGCGAGTGCTCCTGGGGCTGGGTTGAGTGGCACGACCCTGCCAGTTGCCTTCCACAAAGCACTAATTATGATAATAATTATGATACATATGCATATGTATATATATATATAGATAGTTATATGTGTATATATATATACACATATAATTATCGAAGGAAGTTTAGAAGTGAAACTTCCGACAATATGGACAGTTGAAAAGCAGAGGTGAGAAGAGTCAGAAGAGAAAAGATCAGAAGAAAGAAGATGCAGATGCGCGAAAAGGTAGGAAAGTCGCGAAACACTATGTTTTTCCAATGATTTGCGGCTCCGGAGGGTCGAAAAGTAGGCTCGCTAAAGCGGCGGGTGCGGAGCCAGCTGGCCAGATGAGACATGAAAAAGTGCACGCCGTTGTGGCGCGAAGCACATTTCCAAGTCAAAATGGACAAAACACTAGAGGATCGGACCACTTTTGGAAGTTGCGATGTCGAAAAAGTGCACGCCGTTGTGGCGCGAAGCACATTTGGAAGGCAAAATGTACAAAACACACCATTCTCGGACCACTTTTGGAAGTTCCGATGTCGAAAAAGTGCACGCCGTTGTGGCGCGAAGCACATTTCGAAGTCAAAATGTACAAAACACCACATGTTCGCGCCACTTTTGGAGGTTCGGATGTGGAAAAAGTGCACGCCGTTGTGGCGCGAAGCACATTTCGAAGTCAAAAGTGTAAAAAACTGAGGGTTTTGAGCCTTTTTTGACGTTAAGATGTCGAAAAAGTAGACACTGATTAACTTGACTAACTTGACTAACTTAACTAACTTCACTAACTTAACTAACCTAACTTCGACGACAACAGCAACAGCAACAACAACAACAACTACTACTACTACTACAACAGCTACAACAACAACAACAACAACTACTACTACTACTACTACAACTACAACAACTACTACAACTACACAACAACTACAACTAGAACTAGAACTACAACTACAACAACTACAGCTACAACTACAACAACTACAACTACAACAACAACAACAGCAACAGCAACAACAACAACTACAACTACAACTACAACTACAACAACTACAACTACAACTACAACAACTACACCTACAACTACAACTACACAACAACTACAACTACAAAACAACTACAGCTACAACTATATGACTTCAACTACACTACACTAATTACATTACACCACAACTACAACTCCAGTACGCTACAACTACAACTACAGTTGCAGTACATCACACTACATCCAGCAGTTGTGGGTGAGGTGACCACTGCAACCATTGCAACCACTCCAGCAAACACAACTCCAACCACCTTTCGGTCAATCAGTGGATTCGCTCTGCCATCCGTGATTCACAACAACCAACGTCTCCTATAGGTTTCCTATTCTGAAACTTCCGCCACCGCCTTGTGCGGTACTACTGGTATATATATATAGATCTATATACATTTCTCTGTGTGTGAGGGACCGTAACCTTGCAAGCCTGAGATGCCAAGGGGCTTAAGAAGGACTCAATTTCTGTCGCGGCATCTCTAACCTACAGAAACAACAAGCTGTAACGAAACAAAAGTTAGTGGTACTATGTGGCACTGTAAGACTGTAAGTGATGCAAACATCTCCGCAATTCAAAACTCCTTAGTCGTCTGGATCGGCCAGGCTTTTACCAAGCAACTCTGGCAAGAGCCGAGGCTACCCGCTCGCTCGAGGGTTCCTGAAAAGAATTCCAAAGCAGCTGCGTTTCCACTGAAGCCGAAGTGCGAACATGTCCAAAATGATCCAAAGTGCAGAGCTGCATTTCGGAAAACCTTCTCACGCCTGGGCGGCATTCAGCTTCTGCTCGCACTCTGCTAAAGCTTGTCGTGCCACAGCCACGCCGCCCTGGCAATGGATCTGGCCAAGAGGGGCAGTGAACCCCTTGCCGGCCATGTCAGCCCTCTTTGGTATCCTTCTTGCTTCGTTCCTTTCTCAATTCTCGCTACGTCACAAATCTGCGCAAACATCAAAGGCTAAACCATCCCTAGCACTCCACCATGGTGCGCCACACCATGACGCGCTTCCGCACATGTTGCAGCCTGCAACTGCGAGACACCGATGCCAAGTGCTGCAAAGGGATGGGCGGCGCGTTCGATACGCAGAAGGAGCTGCTCCACAGCGGGCACTGCCTTCCATCGTTTAGCAAGTGTAGCATTGAGAATTCCAACGAATCTTTTCTACAATGCGCTCATCTGACATGGGCGGCTCCCCAATGCCAATGTGGAACATCAAAAGACCACAACCAGAGCAAACGGATGGAGGGATATTATACATGATCAATTTTCATAAAATTTCAAAGCCAGTCCGCCCTATCATGTAATTACAAATACGATATGAAATCCCAGCCCAGCTGTGATGCCCAGGCGCCAGCTGTTCAGGGGAAGGGCTCGATGCGTGGAACAAACCACCCGGGCGAACGGCTCCGGTGGCCATGTCCACAGCACCCAATGGCGCATATGCAGCACGCAAGCGTCGCAGTGAGGCTAGATTCGCAACTTAGCGATTGGATGGCATGACAGCTGTTGTGGCTGCTGGTACGACTTCCCATCAGCAGCATAAGATGCCACAAGTTGATGCTAGGTCGACATTTTGATGGAAAAACATAAACATCATCAAATATTAAATTATATATATATACATATGATCTTACCAGTACCATCAGCATCGCTTAGCATCAGCTCCCATAGCATGACATGTAAACTCCAAAATTCGGTGCCATCTCTAGCCACTGAGTCTGGCACCAGTGTCTGGCGCCAGAAGTCGCGCCTGCCACGAAGCTTCACCAGCTCCCGGCCTGGCAGCATCGCCGTCGCGAAAGAGAAAACCTCGCATCCCAAACCTTCGCAATCTTTGACCATTTTTTTTGCCATGCAAGCATCATCACAGGCATCCAATGGCTAGATGCAAAGCAAATTTTGGCAAAGAACTGCGTTCCCTGAATGATATGCCATCAATGATGCAACTTCCTCGTGCCTTGTTTTTTGCGAAAGAATGGCGCGGCAGCCCCCGAGTGTTCCAACCTCAGTGGCTAAGAGGTAGTGGACGGCACAATCCAGCACACTGCAAATACAATATAATACAATGAGATGGAATGATGTAAATTGAATGACTATTGATGTAGATTGATGGGCAACTGGGTAATTCGAAATTTGATTCAAACAGAGCTTTGCTTGCATCGCAGGCACTGCAAGACGCCGACCCAGCAGCAGGGCCACACATAAGCCACAGCCACTGAAACGCGCAGCGCTGTCAAGCAGGGCATGGTCCTTGAGGCTCGGTGTCATACCACGGTGGGAGCGCGAAACAATGAAACTAATTAATGATGCAAGTGATCCAAGCTTGGTATTCACCCCTTGGATGCTTCAACTCTGAATCTAAAATAATCTAAACGCATCACCAAACGTTGTAGCCGCGGGGCTCCAACTTGTTTTTGCCTTTTCTGTTGTGTCGGTCTGTTGATTGTGACATGTCGTGATATGGCGTGAGATGATGTGACCATGGAAATCCATTACATAAAATTATGTATATATGTATGTATATTATATATATATCATAAAAAAATCATAAAATAATATAATATAGTATAGTAATGATAATGTATAAAATTAATAATGTATAATAATGTATATGATATGATATGATATGATGTGATGTGATGTGATGTGATGCGATGCGATGCGATGCGATGTGATGTGATAGATAGATAGATAGATAGGTAGGTAGGTAGGTAGGTAGATAGATAGATAGATTACAAATATTTATAATTTATATATAAATACCTACAACCTTTAGTCTCAACAGGCTCTGAGCTCCGCTCCAGTGACTCGATGCTGTCTTTCATGATGGCGATCACTTCCTCGGGAGACAAAACATGGGGCTCGTGGGGCTCAACTGCAGTGCCAGTCTTCGTCTTCCAAAGCAACTTTGGATCGGGGATCAGATGGGATCAGCATTGAAGAATGAGTTTCGGATTGGGAAACCATGAGAGAAACTTTCGAGGAGGCCTGTGGTCACCAAGCGTCGCGATCATCTAGTGGATCAGACCTGAAACAAAGACTCGCAATGTCTGGCAAGTGCAGGAAACATGGCCAATCCGGGCCAATCCTGTGAAAGAACTTGGTGTGGCATGTCCCTCCAACTCACATAATTCACAATCGTTTTGATACCGGACCAACCCATGACTTGGCTTTGCAACTCTGCTCCACACCTGCAACTGAGCCGAGGCAGGATCTGCGAGTGGAAACGCTTGGCGCAGAACTCCGATGCTGCAGAGTTGTTCCTGGTACCGTCGCATGCTGCAGGTTCACCAGAACTCTGTTGGCGAAAGCGGCTAAATGGTTGTGACATGTTGTGACATATTGTGAAAATAGATTGAAAAGTGATTGAAATTCATTACATTCATGACTTGCTGGATGTGGCACCGAGCATCACTGAGCACTGGGAACCATTTCAGTCATGCTTAGATTGGCTTACATGTGATGATCGGCTGCGAAACATCTGGGCTCAGAAGACTCTCCGGAGCACAGTCCTGAGACCATCAACCAGCACCTCAAAGTCTGGGGCCATGGGCACCAGGATGCACCAGGAGCGTTATCTAATTCTTGGCATTTGTCTTCCAACATCCAACTACAAAACAAGACAGAACATCTGCTGCGTGAATATGTCAAATGGAGATCTTGAAATCACATAGAAGCCGTTGGGAGGCAAGTCATCTCATGTCCGTCTGAGCTTCTGAAGAACAACTCAATTTGGCACTGAATGTTAAAATAATTCCAGACCATGTTTGAAAAGGACAGCCTTGCCAGCGCTCTATTGGCAATAGGGTAGCTTGCCATGCTTCTTGAAAAGGTAGTGCGGCCAGCTACTTTCTAATGCACATTCCAAGTTGTGGATCGAGCAGCTAGAAATGGGTGATCGTGGACCGCAAACTTGCTAATGGTACCTGGTACCATCCTTCTATTCTTTTCATTTCTTTTCTATGTTTGCTTCCGCTACAGAGTCGGCAACACCTCAAAACTTTAGGGCTCCATCTTTCTCTGAAAACTTGGATGTGTGCCTTGCCATCGAGGAGCAAACAATGCAGCAGGCTTGTCAACAAACGGCACAGGCTGCTTCAGAGTGGATGCCGTTCGTTGAAGATCCAACAGAGCCACTGCCAGGTCATCCTTTCGACCTCCTTCCTTGCAACAAATCGACACGACTTCACAATGCGAGTCTGGGGGGTAACCTCAAGGAACACCCCTTTGGATTCCTTTGGAACGTAGGTGGCAAAGAGTATGGATCAGGGATGATCAGGGAATCAGAAAGAAACCATCTGGATCAGAGTGAAGTTGGAAAGTTCGTGCATCCATTTGCTATTTAAGAGTCAAGATGGTCAAGATGGTCAAGGTCTAGCCTTTTGCGATACCAGATCTGACAAATGGCTATCATTTATTCTGTCAGATTCGATTCAGATTAACAGCATCCAAGAGACTGCAGGATTGCAAAGCACTCCGCTCTGCATTGTGATTGGATGAGACAGCGGCTGGTGTGGTGTGCCAGCTTGCACCCAGGATCCTCGCCGTGCTACCATCTCTCAGGATCTGACTCTTATGTTGAACGCTAGCTCGGCAACTAAGTCTCAATTCGTTTCCAAATGGCTTACAAAGTGCCACCTTGCGAAGTGGCACAACTATGAGATTCATTCATATGATAAGTAGAATTATGGCATAATATGGCGCTTCTTCTGACATCCATTGAGCCGTCCAAATCTCGAGATTTCCCAAACTCACGCTGCAAATGAGATTCCAGTAGTGCCGTGCACTCTGCGGTAGTACTTCCCAGATGAAGCATTGAAGAAAAGCCATGGCAATGGACGGCCACCTTCTTGCTGCCGCTCATGAACATACCACACACCTGACCAGTGTCCAAACGGCTTGCACCTTGACAAAACAAAACCAAGAAAAACACACGGACAAATCGCACGAGCAGCTTCCCGCAAAGCGAAGGATCGCACCTGGAAGGCGTGGAACAGCCATCGCCTGGCCGGCCAAAGACCAGTTGGGCCCTGATGGCTGGAAATTCTGGAGCTGCTCCTCCTGATTTTGTAGCAAAGCACGAGGTATTGATTCATTGATGGGTTAGGTGATGTTAGGTGAGTTATGTGTGCATCTGGTGATTGGGCGGCCCTTTCTTCGTCAATTGACAATTGAAATATGCATTTCAAATATGAGAAGTCATGAGAATGCACATTATAGATGTCAACAAGAAGACCAATGATTTGCATCGACACATCAACGGAGCACATTTTCAAGTGGTAGCTTCGTGCAAGCACCATCAACTGCATGTACATGAATACACTGTTCTGCAGCAAAGCAGCACTTGAAAGCACTCGGGACAAATAATGATAAATCAGGGTATCGTCTTCACTTTTACAACCCCAAGTCCCAGCATTTTAGAATGGCATCTCGGGCTCCTGCTTCGCGTAGATCCACTCCCGCAGAGAAGAAACCTAAACAAACATGTGTCACAAGATTTCTGTTCATGTTCATCCTTGACCAAGTGAAAGCCTGCCCCGTGGGTCTTCATAGCCGCTGATACTTTTCCACTTGCAAACAAAGGGCGCAACTTCACATCAAAATCATGAAATACAGTAAGTCAATGTAAGTCAAACAGTCTCTGCTCTGGTCTCCGTAAGAAAGGATGAGGTGGAACCGATCCCTCGAAAACACAAAGTCTCCGCAGGTCTTCTCCCGTGACCATTGAAGGCCAGTTGCTAAAGCATGCCCCCCAAAAAAACACCTTTGGGTGGCACATGTTAACACATGGACCATTGTGGACCTCATTGGACCTGCATTGTTAACCTTTGTGGCTTGGCTTTGGGATGCTTTGGGGTATCATTAGATCACCTCCTGGCGGCCTGACGGCAGCCTGACGGCAGAGTCTCAGCACAGCAACGCTCTTCTCCTGCTCCTTGAATTTCTCCGCTTGTGTCGCCGTGGTAAACTCTGGCAGGCGTCGCTCAGCTGTGTCGGCCACATCCTGCAACGAGGGATCGGTGATAGCTTTTAATGCTCATGGTCTGACAATGTCTGGCATGTGCATTCTGGCATATTCTGCTATCTCTTTCGCAATCCCATCGAGTGGATTTCTATGGATTTCTATGCCTCTGTCCATTTCGAGACTGTTGATCTTGGCAAAGTTTATTGCCACCTCCGTCCATGCTGTATAGGAAATAGTTTCCCGCTTGCCTCACCAACCAACTCCATGGCACTCCATTGGAGATCTTCCAATTCTGTGACACGCGCTTCTAAATCCTGATCTTCGCTGCGGCTGCACAAACAGCAAGCGGATGCAAGCGGCATATTGAGACAGCCAAACACTTCCCAATACTCTTCATTTTGGGTTCACGGCACTTCTTTTCACACTATGTTCTCTATGATATGTTCGCCTTGAACAGCCAAACCTGCGCAAGCAACATTCCATTCCAATGTGACTGCCATATCGCATACAAAAGGAAAACTGAAGTTAAAACTCTCCGAAGGCTAAGTGCGGAAACATGCCATCACATGCAACTCAACGCACCCCAAGCCAATACAACTAAACGCTGAACACGATTCCACCAGGGACAACTCAGCTCAACTCCAGTCAAGTATTGGACTATAAACTGAATTCAGCTCACACAGCTCACATGGAGAAACAAACGGAAGAGGTGCACGAGACCTAGACCCTGACCCTTTTCAAACAGTTTCAAACAGTTTCAAACAATGTGTGTGTGTGTTTTGAAGGTGAAGGTGAAGGTGAAGGTGGGAAAGGAAGAGAACAAGTTTGGGAGCTCAATTGTGTAATGGTCTGGATGGTAAAGGTATGTGACGCGGCGGGTGGGTCGACAAAGCTCGGACAGTGCTTGGGCTGCATCTGAAAGATGTCGCCTTACTTTGCACCTTTCATGACTTTGCGTGGTGCACTGGTGCGCTGTTTCTTTTAGACCCTTCGCTTTGTGATTGACCTAGGATTCTCTTTCCTGCACCCATCATTGTGTTCTTTATTGAGAAAAAATCCCCTGAAAGAAAAAACAGCAGCCGCTTGCTCAATCCAAAAAGTCCGATCAATCTTCCATCTGCCGTTGTGGAGCGATCGATCCATTCCCATCTTTTCCCACTTCCTGACGGCCCTCCTTCCCGAAACAGCTTGCTCATCCTTTGGATGTAAGTGGAATGTTAATTCGTACATATATACAGTAACATACATCCTAGAAACAAGTATAAACATCATTAAAATTCATTAAACATCTGTTGTTAAACATCTATCAGATATCAGATATTTATCAGCCACAAATCACACGCAGCCAGGCGACCGCCTCCGTGGCCTCGGCAAAGGCGATCTTCCGCAGCTCGCTGCCATCCTTCCGAGCCTCAGGGACCTCGTTCCGGAAACAGAGAAACAGAACTTCCGAAACTTCCGGCGTTCCCACGGGACTTGGCCAACTCGTGGAACATCGTGGAACCTGATTTCATCTGATTTCATTTCATCTCTATATATATAAATATATATGTATAAATATAATTATTTATTTATTTAGTTAGTTAGTTAGTTAGCTAGTTAGTTAGTCAGTTAGTTAGTTAGTTAGTTAGTTGGTTTATTCGGTTATCTAATCTATTTACGTATATGTGAGTAATGCCTCTACCAATGTGTTCAACATATTTCGGCCACCTTCTCTTGTTGGAAGATACCCAGCTGTTTACATGCCATCAAGTTGCTGTCTTCCGTCTGGGTCCTCTGAGCCTCATCTCCTGCAAAGCCCCTCCATCCTTCCTGTCAAGCGTTTCGACATGTTTCGACAAGAGCATCTGCTCTCATGACACGTCGCAAAGTGGATCAGCAAAATGTAAACTGATCAAGTTGGGGTCACATGTCGAAACTCAAGAATACTCAAGAATGATTACTGTTTAAAAAGAAAGGATTCATTTGGCTTCAACCCCTGTCCTGGAAAAAAAGGAAAGCTCTGCCCGGACAAAAAGCGATGGCCCCATCTCCTCATTGATGACCTAGCATCTCCAAGCTCACGTATGGCAGTGGTTTTCGTGCCGAACCAACCTGCTGTATGCAGTACGAATGTTATTATTGCCTGGCTGCAGCAAGATGCAGCAAGCACTGAGGAATGCGAACGGCCACGGGCGAAAAACAACAAGTGCTGATCTCTTCAGAAGTCTTCAAAGTCCTACCTTGTCCCACCCATGTCACCTAAACTACTTTGGAAGATATTCAAAGTGCATCAGCCTCTACCAAGATCTGGCAGTTCCTATGAAGTGAGCAATATTGAGCAAGAAAGGCAGCATCCCCAAACATGCAGAAATTGCATCTCATAGCTGCGCTCAAGCCGGCATGACGTAGGTAGCGCAGCATGCTGCCCCCAAACACGGCCATTGAAAAGTAGTGTAAAAACATTATATATATATACCTATCTATCTGTCTATCTATCTATCTACCTACCTATCTATCTATCTATCTCTCTCTCTCTCTCTCCCTCCCTCTTTCTCTGTGAGTGTGTGTCATGTAAGCATGTGAGTTTATACCTACTATCAGTCATGGTATTGATTAATGTCCTTGCATATTTACATAATTACATTACATATCATATATACATATACGGTTACAAATTTATCATGCATTGGCTACTCATTTGCTTGACATGTTCACTTCCAAGGCACTGAGAAATCGGGTGGCGGAACATCCCGCTGCCAACGCAGATCGCCCATTCGACGAGCCATGACCTCCACCTCACGAAATCCCAAGCAACAGTCATAACATGTCATAACAAATCTCATGAGAGGCATCTTGTGCAGAATTCAGATCATTCAGGCAAAACAGCTCTTTTACGCCGTTGTATGCTCTTGTGATTTTGTGGGTTGCTTCATGGATTGTACTTCTGGCAATTGAGAAGGATTGCATGTTGTCTGTTGGTATCTGTTGGGTGCTCTGAAGGCCGGCACTTCCTAAATTCAAATCCCGTTGGAACTGCTACCCGCACCTCTTCCGCCTCCTTTTCCTGGTTGGAGTTATCCTTTTGAACCTCAGCACGTCTCTGGGCGACTAAACTGGCCATAAATCCCAGCGTTTCTCTGGAAAATGTCCGTCCCTTTCGGTCCTTTCGGCCCCTTCCAGTCCCAGTCGCATACTCCGGAGGAACGGAAGAGAAGATCCCTGCAGCACTTCCACCTAGGACCTGTGGCATCTCAGTTCAATCAATGAGTCCTGAAAAGGATTGCTAATTATTGCCATGAGTTCTCGTTCTTGCACTGTACCAACCGAATGCATTCAGGCGGGGCTTGCACACTCAGACATTGGCCCACACAAAGTTTGTAGAACATGTTTTTTGGCTGTTTCAAAATGTTTCAAGCAATATCGAGCCTGTGTGGCTCGGAATTTGACCTCAGATTCGCCATGGTTTGATCTGTGGAGAGACATGTCATGTGGAGTATTACGCGTCACATTGTGCCATTTCTCACTCAAAGTTTCCAAGCGTGATTCGCACTCTCGCGTGCTGCAACAAAAAACGTGGGACATGGTGAAGTTCTTTGATCTTGGTTCCGACTCTTGGTTTGAATCAGAATCCAGTGCCAAACTTAACTCTCGTGCCATGCGGTCGCGGCGCATGATTTCAAATACGTTTCCGAACAAACAGGTCCAAGAGCTTAAGGTTCTGGAAGTAATGTGAGCACAAAAAGCACGTATGGAACCTTGTCGGTAGTACGGATTCATTCAATTGTTGAAGTATGGCAATTCACATTGAAGAAGGGGATATGATTATGATAGAATATGTATTTACAATTATATCCATGTATGTAGATGTACATGGGCGTGTGTGTGTGTGTGCGTGTGTGTGTGTGTGTTTGCGCATACATATGCACATAACTTATGAATCATATCCATTATCACTAGATATATCCATAGTAACTAATATGGATGAATGTAGATTGAACATGGATTCCACGGAACGAAATATCAACAGGACCTGAGCACTGTGACTCCCGACCCATGCAGAGCCAGGTGCTGGACCACGGCCACCCTGCCGTCCGCCCTCCCGGCCTTCAACCTCGAAACCAATGGGACGAAGCCGTGGAAAGTGGAATCAACGGGGAGAATGAACCTGTCAAAAAGGTGAAACATGTTATATAAATACAACATGATAATATATACGATATTATACTGTCATGCATGTATGTATACACACAATTATGCATATAATTAATATTATATATATATGTGTGTGTGTGTGTTATGCATGTGTGTATGCATTCTACATCATCTACAACCATATAAAATATAAAGTCTATATGTCACATGTCTGATGCGAATTGATCAACAAGAATCGAATGCGTTGCAGTGACTTGTGATGGCTGTTCATGCTGTTCTCGAAAGACCTCTTCCCTTGACATAATTTCGCTACGAAAAAGCCAAAATCGATTTTGAAAGTTTGAGTCGAGGCCTCAAAGTGGACATTACATCACATTACATCACATTATCATCACATTATCGGGTATCACGGCATCACTCTGAGCTCTTGATCCCACCAGGGCTTCGGACTTCAGGTGGCATCATCCTTGCGACGTCCAACGGATTCCAACGGTGATGGGATGGGACAAGACAGCCACTGCAACTTGATATGGTCCAACGATGCCCGGAATTTCTCAACTGCCAAATGTTCAAAATAAAGTCTGTGCTGAGGCCCCGGCCAACTACGGCAGTGTCATGCAGTTTCCACATGGCTACAGTGACCAATAGTGACCATCTACACTGGGGCTCTTAGAGGTCTGTGTGGAACATGGCTACCTTGACATAGCTTGACTACACACCCTAGCCTTGGTGGAAAGCATACTCTGGGCTGGGACATGTCAGCATTGCGTTCTATGATGTTCTATGGTGATCAGGGCGGAAATTGTTGGAAAGTCTATCAGTAGAGAAAAAGGCGATGCCTAGGAGCTGGCTTCTGAGTTCTGGTGTCCTCAGGGTTCGTAGTCCTAGTCTTGCTCTGCGGGGGCAATTTCATGATGTTCATGTAAGATGCGCTGACAAAGAAGCCGAAATTTTCGGATCCGGCGCTTCTTTCAACCACTCCCTTAGGCCTGTTCCTCAGAGTTCCTCGAAATCAACCCCTTGAATTTTTGAGGGTTGCACATGGCTGCGCTGGATTTTGGCTCCAAACTTTCACAGTTGTAGTTGTTGGCTGGTTTTAAATGCCGAATGTTGAACAACACAACCTTTGGCGCACCACTCCATAACTAATCCATAACTCCCAACTACCTCTTGCTGCTCCTCGCCGGTTGCGGAAAGTAGGTAGAGTGCTGGAAGCGGCGTCCCATACCTACAGGACATGATTGCGGAACCCCCCACAAAAAAAGAGAGAAAAAGAGCTGTCGGCAAAGGCGGGCTCTGCATGCGATCGGACCCGAAGTTTGCAAACATCAGTGTCCATCTGTTTAGGAACTGCAGCTGATCCACAATGCGCATGAAATACGTCCGAGCTAAAGAAATCACTTGGGATTACTGGCAGGCAAATGTGGAAGATTGTATAGTATAAGATTGTGGAAGTTCATGTGGTGTGGAAATGATGCGCCTCCTAGCCCTCCTAAAGAAAACCCAATGATTTGCCAGTGACACTTTAAAATGCCTCATGCTTATGCTGACCTGACTGCCCCTCAACCGGCCAAATCCAAGTCACATCTCCCAGCCACTGACGGCAACAATGCGAGAACCACGAGTGGCTTCCAGAAGGGGCATGGCCAAAGAGCCTCTCATCGCGCTGCGCGGTCATACTTAGTCAAGAACAAGACTGGTCACTACATGTTAAATTCAGAATCCCGGGTAGTACTGGTACATTTTGAGAGCATTTAAAATGGTCATGGACGGACATCCGTACCTAACTTAAATATTGATTTCTGGGCCTCTTCTACTATTTTTGGAAGTTGAAGTGTAGACAGAGGTGAAGGATGGTGCATACTGCATACAACTGAAACTTGGAGTGTTGCCAGAACCTCGGGAAAGACTTCATGGTCGTCGCGGTCATGGGCCCTGGGACATTGGGCCCTGTTTAAGATAGTTTAGTTCAAGTTCTTACTCTTAATAGAACTGAGACTGAGTGAATCTTCTCAATGCTGGCACTGAATCAGAGGCATTTCGGAGTAATCGACCTTGCTCGATGAAAACATGCAAAAAACACAGAAACAAATTATTCAAGGCTACCTTGAGCAGGGGGCCTTAGGTGCCTTCAAGAATGCATTGCAACTTCTTTCACCATCACCCTTTGCTGCTCCCAACCCTTTTCAGGTGCCTAGACAGTATGTGCCAAACAACCTGGGCATCATGAAATATGAGATTCTTACATCTCTTCAGCAGGAAACGCTCAGCAGACAGAGGGCAACACAACAAGAAATAACCAAAGAACATTCGCAGCTGCAGGCTGAAATCCCAGCTCAATGAAATATAACGCAAAGGCTTAGCATCAGTTCTGCTACGAGCAACACTTCTGAAGATCTACAAAATAGTGTATTTCATCTTAAAAGCACCATGGCTCCAAGAGATTCATTACATTCATTCTCGTTTCAGCCATGTTGGGCTCAAGCCATGGAATGCTCTGCCCTTGTCTTCCAACTGGTTTCGTTTCGAGTCAAGTCACAAGTTGGCAGCGAAGGTTTCTTCCACCAACTCCTCCGTGACTTTCCGTTCTGGGCTGAAGCGTTGCTCTCCACACACGAGGCAGTCCAAGCCTGTGCGCTTTCAGCGGATTTGAAGCAATGTTTGACTCAATGTCTAACTGGTCTAACTGTGGGGTCCCAAACTTCCCAAACCTGTAAAATCTGTAAATGGTTGCGAATGGTAAATGTATGGTAAATGTTCGCACATGACGCGGCAACCCTAGCAACCCAGAGATGAATATTACGGCAACAATCTTAGTATTACAGTATTTCCATGTATTTCCAGTTTCTGAATCACCTGATACCGAACGTCCAGGAAGAATATGCTACTTGCAATGGATTCTCGACTCAGGGCAACATGATTTTTCGGTGCTTAAGTTTATTATATAAGTTTATATCTGAATTTCATCCAAGAAACGGTTCGACTGGGCTTCAAACTCTCGCCTCAAACCAAAAAAAAGATTATGCCGACTTTCGGAAAAGTCTGCCATTTATTGCTACAGCAAATGCACAAAAGAGCCCCTTCTTCTAAGTATAAAAGGCGACAATGCCAACTGTCCTGCGCAAACAGTACACTTTTTATAAGCAAATGACTGCCATGAAGTCACATGAAGTCACAACTGCCTTCACACCTGCTTTCACAGAGAAAAGACAACCGTTGCTTGTTCTATACTGCGTCATCCCTCTTTTTTCAGAAGCGACTAAGCAGGTTTGTTCCCTCTTGTGGGGTTTGGAAGCCTCCAGCCCTGACAGAATAGTAACCGCGTTTAAACATTCTGCATAGATACAAGAACATCACAAATCACACTCCTTCTATGGAGCAAGAACGACTTGCCGCCGACTCTAACTGATACTTCCTAATACTTCCCATATCTTCTGGCCAGTTTTACCTGACCTACTTTTGAAATCTTTTGAATATGTTTGATATGTTGCTCTATTCTGATGTCTTATTGGCACAGCCATTTCAACATACCAGTGGGCGCACCAACAGCGCCGTACATCCGCATCGATTGCCACATCACCCTGCAGCAAGTGCAAGCTTTCCATATCCTGGCGCAAACCGCAGAGGGTCGCCCAATTTTCCCCAGCAGCACCACTAAGTACGCTATAGTAGGCTTAAAATATGCATTTTGAGGATGTTTTGCTGCTTTGGGTGAGGTGGGATTGTTTGAAGTTTGCGAGTTTGGATGAATTTGGGCGCTTTACAATGGCATGTTTCTGGACAGTGCTTCTGGAATGTAGGGCATATGATCGGCATATGCATATATTTTGTATGCCAGTGGGTAAAATCGTCCAAGTTGGGTCGTGGCTGCCCTGCCTTGCTGGATCTTTCTGGCACCGCAAAATCAAAGCAAACCCGCGGCGCCTCCTCTGTCATCCCGCGCCTCACAAATTTTCGCAAGTTGTCGGCGTCCTTCTTGCAGCTACAGACCTTGGCTCAAAAACTATGTCGGGTGTTTTGAAGGACGAACACCTTGTATCAGCATGGAAACCGCTCAGGCACCAAAGCACCACCTGGCTGTTTGAAACATTAGGAAACATTTGAAAACTGTGACCCGAGGTGCTGCAAACACTCTGCCGCCACACTCCAGAAGGAAGCGCACGACCTCTCTCATGACTGCATCGGTGCCTCGTCGGCGTTCAAATGTCACTGAGGCGCTAGCGAAAGGGATGTGCAAATTTGCAATAGCCAAATCCTTTTCACGGATCCCACACTGGTTGGCACCTGTGGTTAGGTAGACACGCTTCTTCAGGTGTGGTCGGAACATCCTGCAACACCAGGAACGGAGGATTGCGTCTTGGATAACGATTCTTGCATGCTCTGTCAATTCCTTGGTCGTTGTGGACAATGATGTTCATGTCTGACATGAACATACATACACGCACGGTATAAATATATATATTTATACTATTAAAAATTATATTATATTATATTAAATTATATTATATTATACTATCCTATATTATATTATATAATATAATATATATTATATTAAATTGAATTAAATTATATTATATTAGATTAGATTATATTATATACAATAATATATTATATTATATTATATTATATCATATTATATTATATTGTATTATTGAATTATATTATATTATATTATATTAAATTATATTAAATTATATTATATTATATTATTGAATCATATTAAATTATATTATATTATAGTATGTTATATTATATTATAATATATTATTTTATATTATATTATAAAATCATATATTATATTATAAAATTATATATTATATAATAAAATTTCATTATATTATATTATATATATAGATTTTATTAAATTATATATTATAATATAAAATTATATTATTTTATATTATATTATACATATGTATCATTATCTACCAATATAGTTCTGTATATCTCTCTCAATAGTGATGCACTGCACTCGTGCTGGTCTGAGGAATTATCAGGTTCCACAGGGATTGAATCTGATCATCGTGTTTGCCAATTGTTTCGGATTATGGTGTATTCGTATGTGTATTGCTGCGATATTTTCGAATGTTCAAGTCATTTCAGCCATCCGCTCATGCATCTGCCAACACCCGCCCCAGCGCACCGTATTTGGTACTCAGGAGACCTGGTTTCTGCCTGGTGGGCCTCGAAACCCTCCATAGTGAAGTGACGCCTGATATGCTCCCAGCATCTCCATTTTGAAGGAATTAACTTACAAATGACTTACAAATACTTTACAGACTTGGACACTGTTGCTCAAGCTTTGAGGTTAGTAACCCTGCAAATGCTCCCACAGCTACAATGAAGCTCAACGAGAACAAGGCAGGACAACTCACTCAAGGGAGCATGGTGTGGAAGCTCAATGTAACAAGGAAAAGGTCACTGCCTTCCATAGAGATATGGCTGCGCCAGAGCGGCAAAGCCTGCAAAACCAGCCATGGCACCAGGCGCAGCGACGTTATGTTTCAGGTACCCTATCTGAAAACTGCATCCCCCTTACAGGGGGCAATGTATCCCTGAAGCAACAAGTTTGTTAGCACTGCAAATGTCAACATGGCTCGAGCAGCTAAAATGTCCGCAGCAAGAAGCTACACTGGGTTTGCTGAAGTCAGGTCATCATTCGCCCACTGACTTACGAACAAATGGCTGTGAACTTGGTTGTAGACTGAAGATCTGCGATCAGTCGCGTGGCAGCCGCGGCATCTTTCTGTCGGCGTCATTTAAAAGTGCGGACAAGTCTGAGCACCAAGCGTTGCCCAATAACACGTTGTGAAAAGAAATTCGATGCATGTAAAATGACCACCAGTGAGAATCTAAGAGGCAAATCTCAGAAGTCAAAGCCTTGCGCAGGATTTGGCAACCGGATTTCAAGATCAGAAAGCATTGAGGTCAGGGGAAGGCCAAGCAACATCTGAGACATCTCAGTAGCTAAACATAGCTAAAATTTGGTTGATATGGTCACAGCTGGTTGGGGCATCCGTGTTCAGCGATTTCAAGTTTCCAGACGGGCTCAATGCTAACTACACATAACTACACTATATAGTTGCTTTATGTTGTTTTGACATATGTCTTGGATCTGTCACTAGCTTAGAGATTTAACAAACTGTCAAAACAGAAGGTAGGTATCAGTCGGGGCTATCAGGAAGTTCAAACAAAGTAGTTTGGCAAGCGCCCATAATAATCATAATAATTAAGCCTGGTAACTGGTAAGTGTAAAAATTAAAAGCCTAAACCTGTTCTGGGCAGCATTGCCAACCATTTCTCAAGAGCAATAGATGTGTGATCAGTTTGATATTTTCAACCAGGAATCTTTTGCCGGGCTGCTTCCGCAACTCCTCCTGAAAGTTTCCAAGGAGGTCTTGCAAAACGTGTCGATGATGTGCATCTGACTCTGCCTGCAGAAGAAGTAAGGCCAAAATTGCCAAAACTCATCAAATCAAGGCTCCAGACGGAAAATGGCTTATATACATGGCTTGCGTGGCTATGTGGTTTAGCTTTGCGTTCACTGTCATCAGGCCTCAATCCAGGCCTCAGTTTGGCAAAGGTTCATCCAACACCCAACACAAAGGGGCCCGGGAGGGTGAGCAAAGGCAGAGGATCCGTGGCAAAGCATATGAAAGGGGTTGCGTAAACTCAAAGGCTGTCAATGGCTGTCACATTGCCATCAGATTGCTATAAAATCAACGACCCAACGACCGAGACTTGGGTGCCGCATGGTGCTGCAAGACTCGACGACTCGACAACTCGACGATCCAACGGAGCAAATCTGGAGCTCGGCTTCCCGGCTTGAATGGTTGCCTCGCACGCTCAACGACAGCGGAACGCAAGCAGCTGCTTTGCCATAACATATTGCCACTGGCTTTGGCTGAATGGTGTGCTTTCTTGGGATGATGAATGCATATTTAGCGCTAAGAACTTGAGCTAACAAGGCCTAACACCTTCAAAAATCACAAGGGAGTCCCTACTCTATACACTCACCAGCCTGGCCTGGATCTTCCCTCCCTGCAGCTTAAAATGCAGCTTGATGGCTTCAGCAAACTCCTTGAGATTCATGGAATGGCAGACTCAAATTATGCCAATTATAGGGTCAGCCAATCTAACAGTTCGACACGTGGTCTCCCGGTTGTGGGAACGTGGGGGGAAAGAGAACCTGAACATGTTGAACATGTGCACATCTTATGGAGCATCAAGCTAAGCCGATCCGGACCCACGCAATCATTAGCCAAAATGGACAGACTCCGAAAATTCTCCCAAGCGCAGGCAATGCCGCTACCAAGCCCGGTCTTCCAGGTTTGGGCCTTCTTGGGATTCTTAAGAACGTCAATCATCGCCCACCTGGCGTTGCGACCGTACTTTTGGGCCTTTTTGCCTGCTACAGGAAATTTCACAACGCAGTTGTCACGTGTAATGTTCATATGCTGATGTTTTGTGATCATGAAGGTGTGTGTGTGTGTGCGCGTGTGGGTGTGGAAAGCCCTGAATCAAAGGGTATCAGCAGGGGCCATCCCTCTCATCATTGGTGGATGGCAACCGAAGAGGCCAATGATGAGAGCTGCAAACGTACCTGCGAACTTCTAACTTCGGACATGGCCAGGTGGCTAAGCCATAAACCACCCTTGCCGACATGACATGGTAACATAACATGACATGATTTCATTTCATCTCATTTCATCCTCTCCCTTCGGGGTGCATCCAAGTGTGTCTTTCATAAACCCGGATCTCTGATAAAGTGCCGGGGAGGCTTGGTGGTGCGTCCACCGGGGATACCAGATTACTTTCAAATTTTCCCGGACATCATGTTGCCAGAAGCATATTCCGCACAAGCATCCAGACGTTGCTTATCAGAATTTTTCTAGCAGAAGCAGAGTCTTTCAGAAATCGCCAGATTACATGTCTGGAATTCGCCAGTATACAATTTTTTCATCCCCAGATATCAACGTGCCATCCACGATTCATGTTCACCTAGCCATCATGTCACAACCAAGCACTGAGAGAAACAGCACCATGCCGTTACCAGCCTTTTTTGTCGCTCGTTGGCTGCTTGCTGAACAGCCGGAAACTCTGATGCAGTGGTTTGCTGTTATCGGCCTTTTCCGTGGAACTTGCGGTGAACGCCTTGAAACTTCCCTTGGTTTTATGTTGGGGCAAGCAACACAACGTCACAGACATTTGAGCACCATGTTCCATGTCACAGCACAACACCGTGGGGGAACAGCACACTACATTGAGGACCGTTTTGCTGGTTCGCAAAACGTGCCCCAGCGGCTTGGTGTGTGTGGAAAGAACTGAATCAAAGGGTATCAGCAGGGGGCCATCCCTCTCATCATTGGTGGATGGCCAACGAAGAGGCCAATGATGAGAGCTGCACACGTACCTGCGAACTTCTAACTTCGGACATGGCCTGGTGGCTAAGCCATAAACAACCCTTGCCAACATGACAGGGTGACATAATATGACATGATTTCATGTCATCTCATTTCATCCTCCCCTTCGGGGTGTATCCTAGAGTGTGTGTGTGTGTGTGTGTTGACCCATGGTGTAAACAATGCTGCTGCCATGTGGCATCCATCTGGCCTGAATGGGCCACGTCACATCTAATGGATCAAAAAAAACAAACAAAGCCCTGGCTGACAGCAATGTGAAACCCATCGCAAACAGAAATCGGATCTGGGAGGGTATTTTTTCATGCACCTTAATTCAATGTTTACAGTAAGTTCACCAGACCGGTGCAATTTGCCATGGTTTGGCTTGGTCAGGTCTGATGCGGGTGGAAGTGGTGCATTCGACCATATTTGCAAAAGTTAGCTGGGGCAAACGAGTCCTGGAGGAACTGCTAGAGGAACTGCTAGAGCTGTTCAAGTCATCAGGTATCATTGCGTCAGGCATCAGCATTCATCAGTATCGGTTGATGACATCAGTAGGGAAAGCACCAAGCAAAAACTCCCGAAGCCCAAAACCCAGGGATTGAAAAAAAGGAACCCGGGAAAAAAAAATCAATCCAACTTGTTTCATCAATGAAACCTCAGACCTAAGAAACGGTGTTTACCAAAAAGTGCACCAAAAAAGCAGCTTGAATGTCTGGTCGTGTTGTTTTATAGGTGAAGTGCTCTGGATGGTCTGATGACATGATCTGGACGGGAATCGCTAGTGGAGAACAAGAGATGAACTTTGACAGCAGGCTGCGGGTTGTGGATATACATGTTCCATGATTTTCCCATAGTCAGTGTACTCAGAATTCTCATGGTATCTACATTATGGTTTGTGGTAGCGTTGGAGGAAGGAGAAAAAAAACGTATCTCGTTGCGTCAGCTCCACTTAAACCTTTCCGCCCTATCCCGGAAGTTTCAATTCCATTTTGAAACGAACTTTCACCTATGCAGCGATCAGCGTGAAGTCAATTTACTATAGTCCAGGACGTGCACTCAGGGGACCAAACCCGACCCTGAAATCCAACAGCCCCATCACGAACGCGGCCTCACGCAATTCTCACGTACCGAGCGGTTGTACTCATGACTTCGCCTCTCCCCTGTCTCTGTGCCAATCTCCCGTTCGAAGCCTGCACATTGGATCTAGGACTCTTCGGTGTGACCCCCACATGTCATGTCGGTTGGCGGTTGCACATTGGGCAAGTTCCGCCTGGCTCATTGAAGTAGGGTTGCGGCACCAGGATCAAAGACTGTATGGAGATCAGCACTTGTACCGCACGAGAAGTCGTGGCATCCCAATTCTCAGCTCTCTCGCCTCCAAGACAGCAACATCCAGTCACTCCATTATATAGCGGGTCATTGGGAATAAAGGTTCAGAAACTGTGGAGGTGTTACAACAGAGTTTCTCCCATCAAAACCACTAAGCATCATAGGTGGGAAGCATCATAGCTGGCCCCAAGGTTGCGCAAAATGCATCGGTAACGCGCTTCTGCCTTGCCAGGTGCCTAGCAAAGAGAGGCAAACCTTGCCATTGCTGTACAGGTTCGGATTGAAGCAAACAGTATCTCTGCCTGCCAGAAGCAACTTGATTGAGCATCATGCTGAATCCGTATCTGACGCGCGAAGGGCAAAGCAGTCGGCCGTCTATTTTTTCACATCACGTGAGATCTCTACATTTCGTCCGTCTCTCAGTTCAAAGAGCTGCATTTGGGCCGCAGAATTTGACAAGCTATCTTCAATAGCAGCAAGAAAGCGACCCGGGAAACCGCATGCCCTAAAGACCTTTTGTCTTTGTACAGTGCAAAGGTTCTATCCAAAGACTAGTGCCATGGCATGGTGTGTCATGAGTTTGCCATGCCCTTTCAGCGATGACAGCAGCTGACTCACTCAGCAGGTGTGAGTGGCTGAATCTGTGTCTTCCACAGGGTCTTGCTGCGTCCACCGCAGCAACTGGTGGACGATTCATCCAAAATGAGCTGCTGCCGCTTCACAAACATGCCAGAACACCAACCGCAGTTGTTGACCACGCAATCCTGGAGCCAATATGGAAGGAGGCACACAAAACGCCCTTGCTTCCTGAGCACCACCACATAGTAGTAGACAGCAAAAAAAGCGGCCAGAACGAACAAGAGCAATGGCAACGTTGCGACATAGCCCAGACTCCTGCGCTTTGCGAACAGTGTGCAAAGGGGTGGCTGGAATCCGGGATTAGTCGTCTCATTTTACTTGTTCGTCTTCAGACTTGACGAACCACCACTTCACAAGGGCTCATCAGGACTGTTGTCACTCAAATACATTTGAACGCATTTGATACAATCATGCTCATGCGCATGTACGAGCACCTTTTTTGTGAGGGCACTACGTATACATACAATTTCAATCAACATTTCCGGGCGATTCCCGATCCCGTTTGCCCAAAGATCAAGTATGATCCAGGGCCCAAGTGCAGGTCCTGAATTGGAAGGTAACAATCATGGTCAGTAGCCTTGGATCCTGCATGGGCTCCGCTTCCACAGAAGCAGAGGGATTTCCCACATCCACAAACCACCTCAGGACAGCCCAGGTCTCCAGGGCATTTGTCTCAAAAGCTAGAAAGAATGCACCGGTAACACAAGGTCACACACAAGCGCCCTGAGAAAAGGCCATGCGTTTTAGGGTTTTGGACATGTTTAAGCACTTCTCGACTTTTGAACTGCTGTGTAACCGCTGTGCTTTAAATTCCTCCAAGCAACTCTAGTGGGTAGAAAGTCCTCAAGAACCAGTCTTCGGGAGTGATCATGATCGCGACCTGCTGCTTCTGAACATTGAACAGCCTCACCGGCTCCTCAGTTCGTCGTGTTCTGGCCACTGTATCGGTCTTGGTTTGCAGGACGCGGGACCTGTTCCTCCTTGGAATCGTGTTCGTTTATGTGTGGCTAGGATAGTCTAGGTCTTGACTTACGTCGTTTCCTGGTCCTGCCAATTGCTGCTGCTTCTGAAAGTGCCAGAGCATGTCAGAGAACACTGAGGCATGATTGTAATTCTTTTCCATTAAATTCCTTGATCTAAAACTGCCCTTAGATCGACCCTGTACAAACCTTGCACTTGGGTTGCGCGACCAAACAATGTCTTGGTGCAGCTGTCCCGCTTTAGTTTTCGTGTCTGTGTTCTCCGTATTTCTGAACCACTGTCTCAATGTTGCTAATCCGGTTTCCCAGAAGCAAAAGCATGCTGTGGCAGTATTCAATCATAGGATGCACAAAAGAACATGAGAAGACTCTGCGTGCAACAGCTCCTTCTTCCAACATTTTGCTTGCGCAAGACTTGGGCTGGGCTTGTGCAGAACTTGCGCCGCAATTTTCGATATGCTACTCAAGAGTCCTGGGGTCCCTGAGACACCTCTGTGCAAAATCTGCAAACCTCACGCTCCGAAGGTGCTCGACTCAATGGCGCAAGAGTCTTGATATGTTAAAGCCCCAAACCTGGAGACAAGATATGACAAGATGGCATCAAAACACCAAAGCACCATGCCACTCCGCAGCAGACATCCAGTGGGGATGAAACATATTGAAACATCGCAAATACAAGCTTCACCTACAGGACCTACAGGACCTACAGGACCTACAGGACCTACACCAATATCAAGCTAGAACCGAACCGATGAAGTGGTTCATCCCAGCTAGTGGCTAGAGGGAGGGAAAGAAGAGCTCCGATCAATGGCAGGACGATCAGGATTATGGTCTTCAACCTCTGCAGTATGACATCTTGCACACCTCGTACCGGGGATGCGCAACATGAAATACAAAACGCTATTGGAATGGGATTCAATCGGGCAGCCTAGCAGCCAGGGCGCGCTCGTTTTTAACCAGTTCCTCTCCATGTTGTTGTTTTTGAGCTACTGAAAACTGCACTGGTTCAAGTGCATCATCATCTTACTTACCAGTCCAGTACTTGGAAACGGTTTCAATCGACAATCGACACCGCTTCTCGCTTCGCTTGCAATTCCTTTCTGCCTCATTCCTTTCGTACGTTTGACTGCTCTGAGGGCACAATGCGATTCTCCACCAACCTGTTCCCACCTTCACATTTCACTGCACTCATGGGAAACAGAACATGTACCCGGTTGGGGCTGGCTGGCTCACAACGCTGGACTACGATGGATTGCGCTGGACTATTGGTTATTTAATTGACATTGAATCACAGCACTTGGCGTCGGCCTCCAAATGCGAACATGGAAGACCTCTTACGAAGGGTTCCCCGTGTTTTGTAATCAACATTTCTGTAAATTTAATGCGATCATACGCAAACTTTTGCACAAACTGCCTATCAAACACATTCACACAATAAAACAAGAAGGAAAAAGGTTCGAACTGCTAACAACATATTCGCTAAGAATGTTTGTGAGAATGTTCGAACTGTAGACTTGATGTCAATCTTTGAAGGCGATCTGTGTTGGGAATGGTTTGCGGCATGGCCAAGCGTCCGCTCCATCTGTCAGCCTACTGGTACGGCCTAGAACCTCGCCAGTAGGGGATGTCACGATGTAGGCCTTCACTTCAGTCCCCAGCCTCAACGGTTTGGGGATCAAAGGGGGCAATATGCCTTTGAGGTATACGTTCCAAATGTTTCCAAATGATCCAAATGATAAAGTTCAACCAAACACAGTTGTATCACAAATGCCTCGAGAAAGGGTAAATGTTTCCTAGAAACTTGGAACTAGGAGCAAATCTTATCAAACTGGCGGGGCTCACAGGCAAGACTTTTCACGATAGCACACGAGATTCAAGGGCCCTGTGATCTATAAATAAAGGCCCGGCGAACACACAGGTCATTGAACGTACATGAGTTTCACAACCTGGTATCGCCTATAGAAAATACATGCCGGTCCACACACATCGGAAAACACTTTTTTTGGACCTCGTTGCACTTCTTTTGGGCCTGGACACTTTTCATGGAACTTACTACAATTCTTTTAGAGATGGCTACCCTTCTTTTGGACCTGCGCGCCCTCCTGCTGGACCTGCGCGCCCTCCTGGTGGAGCTGGCCCTTCCCAAAACCACATCTCCTTCGGATAGACTCCAAGCTGCGTCTTGGTCGCAATTCTTCAGACAGTAGAGGGCTAGAGCTGCGCTACGCAACATGGCAGGAAGCATTTCAGTACATTGTGTGGTTCAATGCCTCCTGCCCTTTCTGCCCTCTTCTCAATTCCTACTTTTCACACCTCTTCCGGCTCGACTTGGTGTCAACCTGGGTGAAAGTGCCTCACTTGGGGAAATTCATCTGGTTTCAATATCTAAACTTCCCCCGTTGTGCCTCTCATCAAACTTCCTACATTTCCTGCATTCATTGGGTTTCAATATCTATACTTCCCCCTAACCTCTCTGCAGCTTCTTGCATTCATCTTGTTTCAACATCTAAACTTCCCCCCGGTGCCCCAACAACTTCCTGCTTTCATCTGGTTTCATATGTGGGGCCCCCGTGGCCTCCCAGCAATTTCTTGCAAGCATCTCGTTTCAATATTCTAAAGTTCTCTCACACCTGTGCCTCTCAGCAACTTCCTGCACTCATGCGGTTTCAATATCTACGCTTCTCCCCCCCGTCTCTCCACAACTTCTTGCATGCATCCTCATTTGGGCTAATTACCTTGCGCTCATATGGTTTGAATATCTATACCTCCCCCCGGCCCTAGCCTCTCCACAAACTTCTTGCGTTCATCTTGTTTCAATATCTAAGATTCCTCCCCGGTGCCCCTCAACAACTTCCTGCATTCATCTTGTTTCAATACTAAACCTCCTCCCCGGTGCCAGGCAGTAACTTCCTGAATTCATTTGATGTCATATCTGGTTCCCCAGTTGCCTCTCCACATTTTCTTGCATGCATCTAGTTTCAATATCCAGGCTTACCCCCTCGTCTCTCCACAACTTCGTCGTTTGGGTTCAATGTGTAGGCTTCGCCCCTCATCTCTCAACAACTTATTGCGCTCATCTTGTTTCAATATCTAACTTTCTCTTCCCCCAATGTGCCTCTCAACTTCCTGCATCCATTTGGTTTCATATGTAGGTTTCCCCCCTTTGGCCTCTCCACAACTTCTTGCGTTTATGCCGCATCAATTTCCGAATTTCTCCTGCACCCTGTGCCTCTCATCAAACTTCCTACATTTCCTGCATTCATTCGGTTTCAATATCTATGCTTCCCCCTAACCTCTCTGCAGCTTCTTGCATTCATCTTGCTTCAACATCTAAACTTCCCCCCGGTGCCCCAACAACTTCCTGCTTTCATCTGGTTCCATATGTGGGGCCCCCGTGGCCTCCCAGCAATTTCTTGCAAGCATCTCGTTTCAATATTCTAAAGCTCTCTCACACCTGTGCCTCTCAGCAACTTCCTGCACTCATGCGGTTTCAATATCTACGCTTCTCCCCCTCGTCTCTCCACAACTTCTTGCATGCATCCTCATTTGGGCTAATTATCTTTGCGCTCATATGGTTTGAATATCTATACCTCCCCCCGGCCCTAGCCTCTCCACAAACTTCTTGCGTTCATCTTGTTTCAATATCTAAGATTCCTCCCCGGTGCCCCTCAACAACTTCCTGCATTCATCTTGTTTCAATACTAAACCTCCTCCCCGGTGCCAGGCAGTAACTTCCTGAATTCATTTGATGTCATATCTGGTTCCCCAGTTGCCTCTCCACATTTTCTTGCATGCATCTAGTTTCAATATCCAGGCTTGCCCCCTCGTCTCTCCACAACTTCGTCGTTTGGGTTCAATGTGTAGGCTTCGCCCCTCATCTCTCAACAACTTATTGCGCTCATCTTGTTTCAATATCTAACCTTCTCTTCCCCCAATGTGCCTCTCAACTTCCTGCATCCATTTGGTTTCATATGTAGGTTTCCCCCCCTTTGGCCTCTCCACAACTTCTTGCGTTTATGCTGCATCAATTTCTGAATTTCTCCTGCACCCTGTGCCTCTCAGCAACCTCCTGCATGCATTTGGTTTCAATATCTCGGCTTCCCCTGTCTCTCAACAACTTCTTGCGCTCATCTGGTTTCAATATCTAACTTCCCCTCCCAAGGCTGATGCTTCCTAAAATTCCTGCATTCATTGGGTTTCAATATCTATATTCTGCAGGGAGTGCGGCGCCCCCCTCCTTGTGACGCATTGGGTTTCCCACCTCCTTCCCATTCCGCCCTCTTCTTTTCAATTTCTACTCTTCACACCTCTGCGCCCCACTTGGGGGCATTCATCTGGCTTCAATATCTAAACTTCCCCCCTGTGTGCCTCTCAGCATTTCCTGCATTCATTCATTTGGTTTCAAGACTTCCCCTCTCGTCTCTTAACAACTTTTTGCACGCATCTCAACTTGGTTTCAATGTCTAAGCTTCCCCTCTCTCTCAACAACTTCTTGCGCTCATCTGGTTTAAGTACCTAACTTCCCCCCCTGTGCCTCTCATCAAACTTCCTAAACTTCCTGCATTCATTGGGCTTCAATATCTATACTTCCCCCGTAGCCTCCCACAACTTCTTGCGTTCACCCGGTTTCAATATCTAAGCTTCCTCCCCGGTGCCCCTCAACAACTTCCTCCATTCATCTTGCTTCAATATCCCTGCTGCCCCTGAGCCTCTTCCTGCATTCATTTTGCTTTATATCTGGTTCCCCCGTGGCCTCCTAAAGTCCCCCCCACCTGTTCCTCTTAACAACTTCCCGCATTCATGCGGTTTCAATATCTAAGCTTCCCCCCCTTTTCTCTCCGCAGCTTCTTGCATGCACCGAAATTTGGGTTCAATATCTAGGCTTCCGCTT